TAATAATAATAATAATAATAACTAAAAAGATCATAAAAAGGATGATGATGACGACGACTACAACAACAACAACAACAACAACAATAATAATAATAAAAGCAACAACAACAACAACGACAAAAACAACAACAACGACGACAACGACAACAACAGCAGCATCTCTCAAGCCCTCTTGAGAGATTTCGGTCCAAAAGCTCTACCGTAGCTCCTTCTCATCTTCAACATGACCTTCAACTCAGTAGCCGGCACTTGTTCGAGGAGGACAAACGGAGATTGGACTGCTTTACAAAGCAACATTAGTATGGAAATAGCGAAGTCTGACTTCCAAAAGTACTTGTGAATAGAAAGTGCAAATTCTATCTTGGCACAGCTAGCCCCAACTTGGAAAGAGCAAAGTCTCTCTTACGATAGAACTGCGTCTTTGAAAGAGCAAAGTCTCTCTTACGAAAACCACTTTGACCTGGAATGAGCAAAGGTCTGTCACGAATACCCCTATGACTTGAAAGAGTAAAGCTTCTCTTACGGAGACCTTGTCCATTTTTTCCCAAACTGAAGATACTCTCGTCAGAAAAAACTATAAACTTGAATTATAATATCAAAGACCGGGTACATTTCATTGACCACCCCTCTTTGCTTCCTATTTAAAAAATATCACGGAAAAACAACAACAAAAACTCCACGCTGGTCTGCACCATGGGCGAGCAAATAAAGGGCAAAACTCTCAAGTCTCGCCACAGTCCCTTCTTGCTCTTCACTATGAATCGGAATTAGCCCTAGAGTTCCCACTTTTTAAAATGCAATTAACCTCCTTGAGGAGGTCCTGGTAACGGACACATAATATGTCCGACCAGCAGCAGACTAAAAGGAACGTTGTGGTATAATTTGAACCACCCTATTTATTGGAGACACAATTTTACATAATTATTTCACACAATGCATACTATTGCCTGTTTGTAAAAGTTTCAGATTTAAAAAACTGAATCGGAATATCCGTATGAATAAGGCAGTTAAAGGCTTAATTTAAAATACCCCCAAATAGTGGATCTTCAAGTTTTGTGCGCTGTCATTGAGCAAGAATACAAATTATGTGAGGCGTTTTGGTGAAATTAGGCGCTCGTCAACGTACCGAAAGTGGAGAAATCGACATTTCTCTGCTCGTTGGACAATTATTTTTTTATTTATTTATTTTTTTATTTTTTTTTGGGGGGGGGGGGTTCATGCTTAGCACATTTTAACCGCATTTGTCTGTTGATGTAACACCAAAAAAAAAACCTTGATCAAAGGCACTCTATGTAAATTTGCAGTTTCCAAGGACACCACACCTTTGGAAGTCGCAAAACTTTGGCCGCCATTTCCCTGCTAATTTTACCTCTGCCACCATGAGCCCCCGAGCACCTTCAATCGGGAATGGGCAGCTTTCTCTTCAAAAGTAAGGCAAATGATCAAGATTCAAAACTATATTAGTAAGTCTGAATACCCAAAAAGTAACGAGCGCCTGATTCCACCGCGTTGTAACACACATTAAGGGGATAAACCAAGGAGCTTAGAACTAATTACTGTAAACTCCTTGGGATAAACACAAAGATGGTGGCTAGTCTGCGGCGTACCTTGCCCTGTGGCCTCGGCCGGGTCGTAAACAGTTATGGTGCTATCTACTCTCTGATGGTCTCCGGCTGCCCGCTTCTTCCTCCCGCTGTTGGCGGGGTTAGTCGCTGCAGGGTTGGCTGGTGTGGCCGGTTGTGTGGTCGGTTGTGTGACCGGTTGTGGGTTGACCAGGGGGTTGGCGGTGGTTCCTGAGGCTGTTGACGGGCTGGTTGTAGCATCGCTGGCCACGACACCCGAGCATTCTTTCTGTTCGAGGAGAATAGATAGTAAGAAGGAATTGCAACCCTAAGGAATGATTTGTTTGAAAGTGCAATGTTTGTTTGTATTGTAGCGACTTAGTTGCACGACACTGGCGTGCAAAATAGTCCAGTTAAAATAAGGTTGGCTTATTATTAATGCACACATGTGTATAAAAGGCGCTTGTGAATAAGCTTTATTTGTCTGTACTTACTTCACAACTCGACGTTCTGTCAAGTCTCTACAGTACGTTTGTCTGTGTGTTTGTTTGTTTGTTTGTTTGTTTGTTTTTTTTAGTTTGCTTGTCTGTTTATTTGTTTGTTTTCTTGTTTGTTTGCCTTTTTCTCCTCCACCATATTTGTCTGTCTCTGTCTGTACCTGATCGTCTGTATTTTTTTGTTTCACCTCACTTAAACCCGCACCGCTAACACTTCCAACGGCAGTAAGGATAATGTTCTGGCTATACTCTCCTTTATTCCTCCCTCTCTCAAAACTCTCAACTTTAACACTTCACTTTATAAGGATAATGCTCTAGGTTTTTTCACTTACCCACCCACCCACCCACCCCGAAACCCTTACTACCAACATTTTCTATTGCCAGTAAGACATACTGGCTATTCTCTCATTCACTGTCCCCC